TTAGTGGTTATTTTGGGATATTTTTAGTTACCGTAATGATCTACTAAGTGTATTTAAAGTATCAATTAGAGTCACAAAAGAAATCATGTTTCCTTCAGAAACCATGATTTCCACTCATTTAAGTGAGTTACTGCTGTTAAACATTATACAAAGAGGATCTTGCTGGGAAAGCTTTTCATGCAATTTTTCCTGCTGCAGCCGTCGACTCCTAAGTTGGTTTAGTTGTGCTGCTAAGGGTTCCTTAACATGCAGGCAAGATGGCCCAAGCATGGCAAACCTTCACGCCAGATGCCTCATCTTCAGAGGGGACTGACAGCTTCTGTGATGCCACTACTTGTAATACATCTGCTAAGAGATGAGCTGCAGTCTGCCTACATATTGGAAAAGCTAAGCAATAAATAAAGCATTGCAGATTGTCATTGTGCTGTTTAACAATACTTAGGTCATCTGTAATTGGAGGCCACAAACCCCAAATGATTTTTCCTGCCCACTGATTGGGTAGAATTTGGCTCTGCTTCTCTCACAACTTCCGACTAAGAGGCTTCCCAAAAGTGTCTGCCAAGATTAGCCTTGAAGTAATTCCAGCAGCTTCACCAGAGGAATATTTAGCTCTGTCATTAATCACTCTCATCCATTTTTTGACTTTCCAGAATCCTTCTATGGACAGTGATTTGCCTTTGATGCCTTCAATGCCAAACCAAGTCTTGCCTGTGGCTGGACAAACAATTCCAAGGTTAGAGTGGCAGAAAGGCAGACAGTGCTGGCTCTGCATACCAGCTGTGGCTGCTGCCCAAGGCCTCTGATTACCAGTTCCCTACAGGAAGCATGATGGAGCAGCTCACCTTCTCACTCACTCCTCAGATTACCTCCAACACCATGGACCATGGTCACTGAGTAATAGCTCAATTGTTTTCCAGGTAAGCATTTTTTCAAATACAAAACTCTTGAAATTACATATACAAAAAGTCAAAGGATAAAGAGGGAGAAAAGGAAAATTGTAACAATGAAATTAGTATCAGTACAAAACTCAGTAAGACTACTAATTTGCTGGCTCCTGGGCCAGTTCATGATTGTGGTACTTTCTAGTCCTAATTGCTCTCTGCAAGAGCTAGAGAAATCTGTTTAGTTATTTCTAAAACTTGTCCTTTGTAGCCAATACATGTTAATAGAAAGCTGTGATCCTATGACCTTGCAGATGTCTGCAAATAGAGCAGCTGATGTAATTTTCTCTTTAAGGCAGGTTCTTTTTCTGGGACCATACAATGCTCTACTTTTAATAACTTTAGGGATACTGACACTACCTGTAAAGATGGATCACAAATATTTCAGCTGACAGCCCAGAGTGTTAGCAGAGTTACGGTATGGAGTGTACATGTCTGCAGGGGAGACAAATCCCAGCAATCTCTTTTCTCAAGTAAAGCTCATTTTGAGCGTAGTTTGTAACATGCTGTAATACTCCTAATTCTCTACTACACGTTGCACTGTCACAATGCAAGGGTTGGACTTAACACTTTTTGGTTTGTGCTCCTTATTTCCCCACTTATCATTGCAAAAAGTATACTCTCAAGAGGACAAGCACTTAAAAGGATGGAAAATGTTTGTCTATGAACATTTTATCTCTAGCCAGAATTACAGAGCAGAACACCTGAGCATGTCACACTGCCCAGTTCTGGAAAGGTATCAGTTATACTGCTATTTTTCCAAAATATATCCTGCACTAAAATAGATTAATTACCAGGACTTCTGTTTTGAAAGCTGAAGTGGAAGGCTGGATGATTTTCAGTAAAAATCAGTATTTTAATCAAATGGAAGGCATCTCAGTGAAATAAATTTACTTCTAGTGCAAACTCACCTGACAGAACTAAATTGGCACAACTCAGAAGGCAAAATTTCCCCTTCATGTAAGCAGCACCCTAGTTTTCATGCACTTATGTTACCTTCACCCACTTATATGAAAAACTTAATTGCTACTAGACACACCTGAAAGAAAATTGGAGCTCAACCCAATTTCACAGAAACTAAAGCATCATTGAAAAGTGACTTTCACAGAGACTTTTGAAAGCTTGCACTGGGGTAGCATCTTCTATCCTTAAAAATACTACAAAGATATTTTTTTCTTACTATCAAAAAGTCCTCCAGAATTGCAGAGGACTTCAAAAATCGTCAATGTGTCATCCAAAGCACTGACTGCACTTATCAGCAGATGCACTGTCTTGAACGACCTCCAACTGTTTTATTAGACAACCATGGCGAAATAGTCCTAGTCTTCTCACTGTAGCTCTAGCCTCAGACTCTTACCTGTAATTTCCCTCATACAATCTAATGAACTCCTTGCCATGTACATGCAACTCAGGCTGATCTCCACTAGCATTAAAAATCAAAGATTTTGAGAATGAGACATGAAGTACTCCGAGGAAACTGTCCTTGGATTTCAGTTGCACCTTAAAGTCTGAGTCTCACATATGTGCCTTTACTTTTTCATGCTGAAAAGTTGTGTCATTTTCTCTAATAAGAAGTGGAAATGAAGTAAGTGTTGAAACACTAAGAAGCTGAACTAAAGGCAATTTAATTTGGGTAAGGAAAATCTCTCTGGCTTCTGTTCTGGCAGAATCAATAAGAGAAATCTGAAAACAAACTTACAGGTAAAGGTCAGTTTCTTGGGCTGCAAGACAGGCTCAGAACACGATACGACATTCCTTTGGATTTCACCCAGCTTACCAAAAGAATAAAGATTCAATGGTAGCCTATGGTATCGAAGAATTATGCTTAGGTCCCTTCACCACTGAATAACAGTCTTGTATTTAAAAGAAGTTGTCATTTAAATAAGCACTGAAAAGCAGAGGCACCTGAGCAGTGGTGTTCAATCCTCTCATCCAGGTCACCAGCAAAGATGCTGAACAGGACCGGGCCCAGTACTGATCCCTGGGGGACACCACTGGTCACCAGACACCAACTGGATGCAGCACCATTCACCACCACTCTCTGGGCCCGGTCATCCAGCCAGTTTTTTACCCAGTAAAGGGTGCATCTGTCCAAGCCGTGGGCTGCCAGCTTTTCCAGGAGGAGGCTGTAGGAGACCGTGTCAAAGGCTTTGCTGAAATCAAGGTAGACCACATCCACAGCCTTCCCCTCATCCACTAGATGGGTCATCCAGCCATAGAAGGAGATGAGACTGGTCAGGCAGGACCTTCCTTTCCTAAACCCATGTTGGCTGGGCCTGATCCCCTGGTTGTCTTCTCCATGCCGTTTGATGGCACTCAGGATGATCAGCTCCATAACCTTGCCAGGCACCGAGGTCAGGCTGACAGGCCTATAGTTCCCCGGGTACTCCTTCTGGCGCTTCTTATGGATGGGCATCACATTGGCCAAACTCCAGGCACCTGGGACCTCCCCAGTGAGCCAGGATCAGTGATGACAGAAAGCAGCTTAGCCAGTTCTTCTGCCACCTCCCTCAGCACCCTAGGATGAATCCCATTCAGACCCATGGACTTGTTGGGCTCTAACTGGCACAGCAGGTCACTAACTACTTCCTCCTGGATTACAGGAGGGATATTCTGCAATATGTAATCTTAGAAATTATATAAATATTTGATTGGTTTTCACTAAAAGAGCCTTCAGGTTTTTTTTCCATGGAAACCTATTCCTGAGTTCTTCCTACCTCCACAAAACAAGTGCAGTAGCTATCTAGATATGTCTGTCAGAGAGACTGGACAAACCTCTGTTGGCCCCTGAAGGCTTTTAATATGGCATGAACTCCACTATGCAGCACCAATGCAGACACAGAAGAGATTTTACTCAGTCATGAAAACAAGCCAAATAAGCTTCCATCAGTTCTGAAAGAATAATAAGCCATTGTACTCATCATACGCAGGTGGTAACCATCAGGACTGCATTTAATTCTAAAACCTGATCTTCAAATAGGCTTCAGTTTTGCAATCTACATAAACCACAATATCCTAATACTGAACTAGAAGCAAAAGAAGCCCACCCAGACCCTGTTACAGAATGGACTATCCCCCTTGTTCCTTACAACCTGTAGCAGAAAATTCATCTAGGCAAAGTAACAAAGCAAAAATGTAATGAGAATTCAATATTTGGAAGGGGCAGAAGTTGCAGAATCTACAGGTCAGTACTATTAGGTCAGGACAACTCAGCAGTTAGCCAGGCTTGGCAAAGATTCGTATTTTACAATAAAAGTTGTACAAAGATTCAGACCTTTTCTTCCATCGTCCAGCGACACAAACCCCACTGTCAGAATAAATGGTTATGCTGGCATCTCTGGTAGTTGCTGCATGCTAATTCTCTTTTCAGCTGAGGATACCAAAAAAATAAAAACCAAAAAAAAAAAGAAAAAAGTGAAGGTGTTCAGACGACGTAGTCAAATATGACATCATGTAACATCACTACGATGATAAAGATGTTAGTAAAGCAGAAAGCTCCTCTTCAGTTTTCAGCCATGCCATATCCCATTTTTCACTGAGGGTTGGAAACTCAGACAACTCCTAATAGGGAGCAAGGGCTCAAAAAAGCAGAAATGTTGGCTGTCAGCTGGTGAGCAAGAACTCCATGCTGGGTGCAGCAAGCTGTGTGACACATTATACCCGTAACACTATAGAAAAGTCAATCCAAGAACAGCGAAAACCACCCTTGTATATATTCCCAGCACAACTCAACTCTCATGGTCACCCAAATAATCCATGGAGTGGGAACACACCTCCCTCACACACTTTATCATCCCTCCAGGGCAATAAGTCAAGGCTTACAGCTGTACAGACACATCTTCAATCACAGGCAGCATTTGGTCCCCTCTCTGATGCGCAAAGTCATCTTCCACCACCAACTGTGAACACTGCCATTCCTCAGCAGATTTTTGAGAAACAAAACATTTCTTTCCTGGGTGCACTAATTTGTATTGCTTACCACCATAATGCACCAAAGTCGCAAGCAGGGCATTTAAGATCTATGAAGTACCCACAAACAATTCAAGTCCAGTAACAGACTCAAAAAACTAATTTTAATCAAACAAAAAAATTGTTGATCATTAACAAGTTTATAAAACAGCGATTTAGTTACATAAATAAATTGATATCAGTGTATCAAATCTTAATTACTTTCAACTTCATGAGCATGTTTACATGGGTGATGAAGTACAACCTTTTTACCTATTATAATAAATAAAATGGAGAGCATGAAATAGTTTTTCTAAACAAAAATACCTACAAACATACCTCTAGCATGTTCTCTAATGAACGGAACAAGAGACACTGGACAACTTTTGCACCAAAACATAAAAACTGCTTTAAAAAGCACAAGGATACAGAACCATCAGCTAAAGTAAAGACACTATACTGTAACCAAAGTTGGTATTTAATAATATAATGAACAGTTTGGTAGTTAGATCTCCAGTTTGGTTATTTTAAAGCATTAAGACAAGGCAAGAGAGAAGGCTGCTTTTGTTTGAGTAATTCTAGAGAAAATAAAATATATTAAAAAAACAAACTGAAAAGTAGAACAGTCATACCTACACAACTTTCTGTCCTGCACAAAGTCAAAATACCTATGCAGAATATATATATATAATATATATATGTTATTTGTGCACAAAGGTTAGCTTATTATTAGCTCACTGCAAAGGCGTAATGTATCATGTCAATCATTTTGGAAAACATTTTGCATTTTGTGTCAAAAAGAATACTTCTTAAGTCTTCTAGGCTAGGAGGCACAAACCCCAATTCTGGCATACTGTATTCTTAATGCTAAGGCTTGCTGCTCTGGCTGTGTATTTTTTCGTTGTCCTTCTTTACTATAGTGCCTGTTACAAGCATGTGTGTATGTGTGCATACATATATATGTATACACAGGTTGTATAAATATATATATATATAAAATTTCCCCATTAGGTATCAGTCCAACCATGCAATCCAAAAGGTGGCTCTGCATAGACGCCCAGCATTTAGTTCACCACCTGAGCCAACCCTGAAGCAAGGTGTACTTTAGTCCATCTGATAGGTTTTCTTTTTTGTTTAAAACCAAGCTACTGCAGCTTCAAGTATTTTGCATTACATAGATTTTTTTTTTATAAATTAGTTAATGTTATACTTTCCAATATTCAGACATATACTATAATATATATACAGTACAATAAATGCTCTCATTCTTTATTAATTTTTTTTGATAAATCCCTGAGAATGTATGTTGACAGTCGCTAAGTTTCCACATGCACAAGCATTGTGTGCCATGCTTCTGGATGAACAGCACTGCAAAGCCACATGGTCAGCCTTTTAACTATTAGTATTTCATTTGTTGGTTTGTTTAAATATGCTGAAATGTAAGGATGAGTTACAAAGGAGTAAAGCTGAATCCATTCGAGGTACTTATCACAGGATGGAGGTGTTTTGTTTGGTTTTTAAAGCCATTGCAATATATGTTTGTTTTTGAGGCTGTGAACATATACAGAAAGAACAGGAGAGCGATGTGGGCTTTTGCCACTTGACAACATATACTCAGTGTAAACCAAACCTTTTTCAACCCCTCTCATACAAAAGAGAAAAAATGAAAAAAAAAACCAAACAAAAAAACCCCAAACACACAAACTTTCACAACATGACAGTTTAGTTCGCGAACTCAATATAATAATACACATATAATACCGGTGTGGCTCTGTTTCTTTAATTTAAAAAGGGTACAAAGGCAGGCTCAAGTAAAAACAAAACATCCCCTCCTGCCCTTAATACCCCATTCACACATTTTCGTCAACCAAATCGCTCACGAACCAGCATCATCAGTTTCTTTTTGCCTTTGTAGATTTGTTTTAGGTTATCAATAAACTGTGTAAACTGGATGTGACCATCATGAGCCAATAAGAAGGTCTCTCGGGCCTTGCTGAGGAACTCTATAAACTCACTATAGTGTCGCGGGCTGATGTGAGTGAGACGTGAATGAGTTGTATTAATATAGGCTTCAATCGTGGCATCTAAGAGTTGCCTTAAAGGGGCTTTGTCCAGCGACATGGGCTTACCAGAGTTCCTCCTTCCATGAAGTCCCGCCATGCCAGGAGTGGTCAAAGTGAACCTACGCAAAATGTCTGACAGTACTGTTGCACATTTGACACTTTTGATCAACACAGGTATCATAGCTGTTAGCTCATTTTTCCCAAGGGTATGGCTGAGCGAACATGCCCACAGAACTTCATTAATGGCAGGGTGTGTGTCCTGATTGTAACCCAGGCCGAGATGTATTATGGCCAAAGTGGCCAGCTTGTAGGCCCGCATGGGGTAACCCTGGTGCTCCATGTATCGTGCTACAATAAAAAGCTGTGAGTAGCTCATGCCGGTTGTAGCAGCATCTAGAACGATTTGGTAAGCGGTCTCAAAAGCTACGTGATCCTTTTCGCATAAGGTCAGTGCAGAGAGGGCACAGTTTTGAGGATCCTTCATGGCACACTGCAGAGCAAGTGTCCTTGCACTGCCAGCCAACTTCTCCCGCTGATGGCAGTCCAGATTAAGATTGATGATGTTGTTGTTGGACATCACTGTCATAGCAACAATACTAGTGGCTTCTGTCGGAGTGAAAAGTGTAAACCAGTTTTGCATGATACTATCCAGTGCATAAACACCTGGGGAGAGAAAGGGAGGATTAACCACAACTCACAAAACCTAACAGATACAGAGGTCCAGCAAGAGACGATGTTTGCAACAGAGTCTACAAGGTTGCCAGTCCATCCAAGGGGATGCACTTTAGAAAGAAGTGCTAAACTAGACAGCACGGCTGGAAAAGGACAAAGGCTACTGTGTAAACTCTGTAGCGCTTCTCAAAACGTAGAGAAAAAAAACCAAAACCCTGCAAGGGAAGTTTTAATCTCATGGTGGGACAACCATGCTGTTTTACCTATTATTGAAGACATTTTGGGAAACAAGTTCTGGCTCATTTGGTCTCATCACATTACTCAAAAGCAGTCCTCAAAGTCAACACTTGTAAAAGGCAATTTTAACTTTTCTCACTGTGCATCTCAAGGTACAGTACATGCACAAAAGAATGCAAATGTATGCTAAATGTCTTTAACCGAACACTGTGGGATACATTAACGGAACACGCTAAGCAGGTCGTAAAAATATAAATCAATCCTAACCCCCCACCACTTGCCAACAGGCTTTTCAGACACATCTTGAATCAAATTCATATGCACCTGAACATCAGTTCCTTAGCAGGGAAATAATCTGAACAACATGAACTACTAGATATTATCTGAATTAGGCATTTTCTTCAGTACCACTTTATTCCTGGCATTTTTGTTTGTGTGTGTTTGGCAGGGGGAGGAGTGGGGAAATAGTTGACTAATGCGTTCCATAAATTGAACCTTACAGCCAACTAGAGTGCCTTATTACTGCTAAAGGCAATTCACACACATCTGTGAGCCCATGTAAACCACATCCAGAGGTCCTTATTTTCTCTGTAGGACTCTGCTTCCTGTGCATCCCTTCTCTCATGTGCAACAATTCACCTTAGCCAGAGAATACCAGATCTCCATTTAAATAAACAGATTCCTTGCTTTACCAAGTTGCTTAAGGCTCAAGAGTACCTTGTATGACGTTATAGGTTCTTTATGGGATACTTCTATTAGAATATGTAAACTAATTCAAAGTAGTATTAAAATCAGCATTTCATTTGTCAATATGCAGCCTTACAAAATAATATCCAGGCACTAATATCTGTAAGATAGCCTCAGCAATAATTATCTTAGCAAAGATAAATAGCAAAGCAATAAAACAGTTGCATGAAAACTTGCAGACGCAAACCACTTCTGGATGAGGGCATACAAAAGCAATCTGTATTTTCCCCTGCTATTGACAACATAAATTTCCCAGTTAAACATAAAGTGAAATATAAACTAATCTGGAGAATAAGCAGCAGCAATCCTCTGAAGTCCTGAAACTCAAGAAGCATCTGTGCAACACAACCTGACTTAGATGTACAAAAAAGGAATAAATACAGCAGGGAAATATGCTTTTCAGAAATACCTTTGGTGACAATTAAAATTGCTCCTTATTATAAATACTTATATTGTCCCCACTACCACAGCTGCTGGTAGGGGTTTTTTTGTTTGTTTTGTTTTTCTTCCACAGCTACACAGTTTTTAATGCATACATCTTCACTTTCACATTCTATATACTCATTCCGCAGATGGTAAATTGAAATACAGAAGCTAAGGGACGCTTCATCAAGACACACACGGAATCCATGAGAAAGCCCAGAAATCAACAGAACATCCTGCTGAGTGCACTTTTCTCCCTCTGTGGTCCTTTAAGTCTAATTCTGCTACCACCTTATTTTCACCCTGCATAGTTAATGATGGGAGCATCGGTATTTGGTTTGCTTTACAATGCGGGCAAGAGGCCTGCACAATGCTATGTACACATAGTAAAGACGCACTGCACTCTGAGATTGGATTTACCAAGGGGCTTAAAAAAACTCAATCCTAACAATGAGAATCCCTTCACCAGATCCAGGCTGCCACACAGTAGAAGGTATCTTCACTATTTCATTCACTTGTTTTCTGGTTCCCTCTCCTACAGCTGATCAGAGAGCTCTCTTGCCTAGCCCTCAGAACCTGACCTGGCCTTTCAGAGCAAGCACAGTGCATCAGCCCGTAGCTATAGGCCTTTTCTCTACTGCAGGCTCAAACCATCGTGGAGGGAACAAGGGGTACTTCCCATAGGTTATGCACACCCCCGCTTTGCAGCAGAAAGAAGTTAGACTGCATTTACTCAACTATTGCCTCACTTGGTCTGTTCCTTAAAAAATGCTACTTATCATTGCCATAATGGCTTCTCATCATTGGAATTTTATGGATGAACAGAAAGCAGGAGACATTTGCCCCCTGAGTGTTGAAAAGTAAGATTAAACCCTCTAAGATTAGCTCATAAAATAGGGATCCCATAACATACCTACTTCTGTTGCACATGATACCAACCACCTCACCATTTCCCGCCGTCTCCAATTCAATGTTGACAGCGTCATCCGCATCACCTATTTAAAACAACACAAACAAAATACAAATTAATCCTGTTTTTCAAAGCATGGGCAAATACGTTTAGTAAAACAAACACTGCATGGAAATTTCATTTGTTTCAGCTACGTGGAAAGACTCCACAGATATCTGGATTAAGAAAGCAAGTAGTACAGCACCAGTGATCATACTGTGGCATTAATTACTTGTAGCAATTACATAAAGAGCACAAAAGGTCAATCACAGAGCACTCACAAAATAGCTTGGAGTCAGCAGCATTTTCAAGAGGCTGCTCAACCCGTATCTCCTTCCAATCCTAAGGTGACTTCAAAGTGGCACGTAGCCCTCTATCGTATTTGTTACTCCTGCCATCTCCTTCAGCCTTATGCTGAAGACAGGATAATTAAGAAGACTAAAAGATTGCTGAAGAGCACAAATGCACAGATGATTTAAGAAGTCTGGTCATAAGCAATGCTGAGTCATTCCAAGCTGGCCTCCGAACATTTCCACTTCGAGATGCTGGTGAGTGGTTGTACATCATCCAAAGTTACAGAATAAAGCCAGTTTTGTGGCACCATTTTAACTAAACAGTAATCTAAGTGCTAAGAGATTAGAGAACAGTATTTTGAAAGAAAGTAAACTGATTTGTATAGAGCAACCTAAAACATTTTTAAAATATGGAAATATGGCTAAGGTAGATCACAGAACTAGCCTTTACTTGAAGTCCTTCTGGAAGAAAAACACAATCCCCAAGTCGAAATGCCTTGGAGTACAAATACTTGTCATCCCTTTCCGTGCATTGAAGGGCAGGAGTTTAGGTGACCTCCTGTACTGATGCACACACAAATTGAAGACTAACATTCTTCCAACATTCTTGATGAGTAGAGTGAACCCAACAGAAAATACAGGGCTATGGACTGAATTCTGCTACTGGTGTGGGAGAAGAGGAGGTAAAACCCCTCAAAAAATGGTGTGAATGATGACCAACCTGGAAGTCTTCTCTGACAACTTCCCTGTCTGTGGCCCCTCATCTTGTCATTTGAATTAGATTAATGCTATGTAACTAAAATAGTGCACTGATGATAATCAGTTGTAAGATACAGGTTCATCACAGGCAAAGACCTCTGCAAGCACATGGTTCATAAAACAAGACTTTGCTATAAATTCCCATTTAGTCTTTGCCAAAATCAGGCACAAACCTGGAAATTACTCCATTTTAGTGCTGCACCTGCATGGTACTTTAACTGCGCCTGTGTGGTGGTCTGCAGAAGGATCACCAGTCACAAGAGGCTAGGGCACATGTAGTGGGCATAACAGTTCCAGTGTAGACAGCCCTAACTTGAGAGCAAAAAATAATATCATATCTAGTTTCTTAACACGGAAATGTTTCTTGACAAATTATTCTGCAATTAGGTTCCTTTCATTTGATTAAAGTGACAATCTGAGAACTTCAAGAGAGGCCCTTTATTGACAATAAAATCCTCAAGGATTTAAAATAAAGCATGTACTGATGTACTGATCAAGGAGGAGCTGAAGCTGTACTGTATCACATGCAACCTAGGAACTATTTCACTTCTGCTTAATCTATTATTGAGCTACCTCTTCCTAAGAAGGAGTTCCACACCTGTCTAAGATCTATCCAAGATCTGTCCTGTGAATTGAAGACAGCTTCTAAACAAGTTAGGAAGTCTGAAAATGACAAGAGGCTTCTGGGAATTACACAGCTTATCTGGAAGTCAAGCTCTTTTCCACACAGAATAACCTTGACTTTGTCGTGATGTATCTTTATAAAAATCCTTATTGAGGAACAGATGATCTCACTACCCATAAGAGATACAAGAGACAGTCAACCAAACGTTAACTACTGCACCAATGCAAAATCTCTCCATCATGTACATTGCAAGGAGGTTTACTTAATCATTCATTCACAGGTTTTGGGGGAAAGGACACCATTTGTCAAACCTGCACTAACCTGTTCAGCATTTCTGTCAGCAGTATCTGTTTGCATGTGTGCAGTAATACTTACTTGCACTGATGTAACATACAAAGGAATAGAAGCCCCTCCTGTACCTACAGATCATGCAGCATCTGTGCCAGTAAGGTTCTTAAAGACAGAATACACCCAAGATCCTCCATGCCCATTTGGCCACGCTGGTGACCTCTTTCCACAGTCAGTCTAAAAGCCTTCCCACTGCTGAGTCACATAATACATGCTGCCATTGGGAAAAAGGAGAAAGAACCCAGGAGTCTATACATGACTCCCAAACCTAGAACAATATAAGAGGCTTTTCTCTCCGGAGGATCCCAGTGACAGAGTTGTGAAATTGCTGGTGTGATATCCTCAGACCAACAGGGCCAACTCGACACTGCTGTAGCTGAGGCAGAACAGGATACCTGTGAGGACACTGCTGTTGAGTTTACCACGAGGGAAGATAGGGTTTTCTAGGGCACATAAATGTCATAAGGAGTTAGAAAATAGATAGTGAATGCAGACAATCTAATTGCCATTAAGTCAGGGCAGTAGGGGAGGGGGAAGCATCTGTAGGCCACTAGAGACAGTGCTGACACTAAGGTTCTTGCAGGAAAAGCATTTCTGTAGAAATCTACACAGCTGTGAGTTAATACCAGAAAACTGCTACACATCTTTCTTCTGGAATACAAACTGCCTTAAAGATTGTTAAAACACCTCCATAAGCTTAGGACAGAAAAGAGGACAAGTTACACAACAGTTTGTTCCAAACTCTGGGCTGAGGAGAGAGTAAAAGTTCATGGTATTTTTTTCATTAGATCTTCCTGAAGACATTCTAAGGACATCATCAACCACAAAGGTGTATCCATTTAAAGTGATATCCAAAGTGTGCTGCTATCACTGAATGATACTTGGTGAATACTTAAGGAAACATGGAGATCAATCATACATATCTTCCTCTCATGTAAGCAAACTTTTGAAGCAGAAACATACCAAGATGTGAGAAAAAAAAGGAGATTTCCACAGCAACGTCATCAATATGAAAGGCTAACAAAACATCCAAAATCTCAGCTTTCTGATTGAAGACTTTAGATTCTAAACATCTAGAATAGTACCTTTCTTTGGCATGAGAAGCAACTGGAATAATATCCTTTCCCCACAAGTCTTTGGAACTGTGTTTACTGAGGCAAAGTAATAAATGGTTTTCTGATCTTTGCATGGCTTTTTTGAAGAACTCCCTGAAGAGGGATTAAGGGATTTATTTTTGTTGAAACTAACCGCGTAAACTCCAAGATTCATCAGTGTCAGGCAGTATTACTCCAGATACCTGAAACTAAGCAGGCTCTTTTCAGTTTGCAAACTTCTCAAGAGCCCGAAAACTGATCTCAGGTTCTTGTGCATCTCAAGCTGACCATGTGACCATCTGACCATCCCACAGCTTATGGAAAACAAGATTTTGATGAAGAAGCGAGAGGGCTACTGTTAGCACAGTCTGCCTTAGAAACAAGTCATTATGGTTGACTTTGGCTTTCTCTAATAATTAAACAAGCACCTCATCATTTAGGGGCAAGGAAGGGAAGGAATAGTAAGCCAAGGTCATGCAGAAAATACAGTAATACAGTGCATTTCTGGCAAGTAGAGTAATTTTGCTTTATAGCCAGTCCTAAACATACTCCTGAACCCACTACACTGGTTCCCTCTCACCCCTCAACAGAACAGTGCCCTGCAGCCAGCTGTTACCAGCTCTCTTCCACCCAAATGGTACAAAGGGGCCACACAGACCCTTGGTCATGTTTACTGGTCCATTAAGCTTTGTATAAGAAAACAGAATACAAAAACTCCAGGCATAGGTCTTCAGTGCTTAAAAGCTATATCTGCCAACACTGGGCCAAATTACTTTCTTCTATTGTAATACTAATGAACAAGGGAAATACCTGAAGGCCCAGCTCCAGAGAAACTTTCAGAAGAGTCATGTCTGGCAAGTTGTCCACGAGTGTTGCTATTTTACATGCATCCTGGGCAAGTTTGAAGATGTGTGATGAGGAGTGGATATTTTTCTGGATGGATTCTAACACCATTTCCAGCCTCTGAACATCACCTGCAAAGTGTAAACAGAATCACCGAAATGGAATAAGCTGCCAAAACATCCAGAGATGCATTATAATTGAGCCTGCTGTTGCTATGCAATAGTAAAATGTATAAGTTATATACACTTAGAAACCTTCTATAATTAAATGACATACGAATGAAAGATACAAGACAGCACAAAATCCTCTAGTACCTGATGGTGTTAGTGCAGTACACAGCCAACAGTCATCCTGATTTGTGAATTTTAGAAGTGATTTGTCCATTCCCGAGTCTCACAGTCTACGTTATGTGTCAGAAGAACAAAAAGCTGTCTCATCAGCCTCAAATCAAGCTTATCTGCCTACCACCCAGCTATCTAGCTAAACTACTTTGCTTGAAAATAAGATCAAGTTCAAACCAGTTCAGTTTGCTGTACCCATTTCAAGCTTCTGTCAGACTGCAATTTGGATTTCTAAACACAAATTTTATAATCTGTTTACTCCATGCAATATTAAAAGCATACATTTAGCTGAGTACATAACTGACAGCAATGTACCTTTGGCTGCTGTTAGCATGGTGGATGCCAGCTCACACTGCTGGGATTCCAAGTGATTTAAGATGAACCAGCGGGGATATCGGCTTGGACTAACTGATGGAATGCGATATGGGGTGGATGTGTCTGCTGAAGGAGCTGTAGAATCCAATACCAGCAACCTGAAACAAGGAAGAAGTCCTCTTTCATTAAATTGCTATTACATTAGGTTACTCACAAGAACTGCAAGAACACTTGACCTTGTTTACGAAATGTACCTTTTTGATTACTAAAAAACCCTCACAAAACTATGACAACCCACCTCTCTTTTTGGGGAATCCTAATAAGTCCATTTGGCAAACTTTCCTACATCAGTGGGCATCTGCAGGAATTCACAGGACAATTAAGCCACCCACTAGCCAAAACAGCAGAGACTTTCTGCATCGTTCACAGAGTTCAACCTTTTCTCCCTGCCTTGTTTCAGTCTTTGATTCCCACCCCTCAGGAAGGAAAATGGAGTAATTCTCCACTGTACCTGTAAATATTTTTCAGTATTTAGTACATATTTCCTTCACTTCGAAGTGCTCAAAGTAAGGACGAGCAATATTCAACGGACACTTAGATTTTGAGGTTGCAATAAACTCATATATGAATGTCCACAAAGAATATTTTACTGTTCCACTATGACTACTTTTTGAAGTCTTTAAACTTTATCTTACTAATACTTTATGTTGTACCAAAATCTGATGTTAGGGTCCCAAACGGCAGTGACAGAGCTAATTCCCTTTAATGTTTCAGACTTCATTTTCTAATGCTGAAGCAAAAATTTCTTCATTTGTCAATGTGCAATAATCTTACCAATGAGAATTCATACTTAGAAAATCCAATTCAATATATTTGTTGTTCACTACTACATTAAACATGTCTACTATAACACTCAGCTGATGGCCCTTACACACAGAAGATGCAACCAGTACACTAGATACTACTATATAAATGTCAAAGCAAAAAGTAGGGGTGAAAAAAATAGGCTTTTATATACAACACAATTGAGAATAATTTCAGAACATGAATGGTTAATGACATGTCAAATTATGGTAATAAGATAATGTCCAGAAGAAAAGCCTTTCTAGTACTTAGCTTCCTGATCATGGTTAACATCCGAGTTCTGTTTCTAACAGCTTTCATATGCAAGTGATCTTCTAGCAGGAAGTCATCTGGGAGGATTGTCCTGGTTTGAGAGCACCAGGATGGAAGTTCTCTGGGGCTGCTGGCACTGGTGGCAGTCACAGTGGGGAAGGGGGTCAACTGTGCCTATGGGTAGGAGAGGGTGGGTCAAGTGACCCAAATGGACTCATCACAGCGTTCCTTCCCATGGTGCTCAGTACATAAGGGCACCTGAGAAGAGCCTGGGGCATCTTTTTGGTGCTGCTGTGCTGGGAGGATTGCCACCGGCTGTTCATCATCTCTCCCTGTGCTGCTGATGTCTTTATCTCTTGTTTTCACACTGCAGAGGAGCACCATTTGTCAGGAGAGGTTGGGGTGGTGTGGCCACTCTGAGGCTGCTCTTTTTGGGATTTTTTAGACAATCCTTGGGACTCTAGGCTCAGGCACTCCTATCTGCTGCTGAGTTCAGTCTGAGACTTTTCTCCTCAGAACCTGTTGTCATCCAGAAGGCATGGGTATTAACATATTCTCTTGTATCTTTGAACATATTTGCATACTTGCATAGTATCTGTATATAGTTTAACATCTTCATTGTCATAGTTAATTTTTCTTTTTCACTAAGCTGGTCCAAGTTTTTTTCAACTTCCCTGTCTCTCTCCCTGGTTGCCGTTATACTCCCCTGGAAGGGTGGTGGTGGGATCACAGAGAGCATCTGTCAGAGTTTAGTGGCCAGCCCAGACTTAAACTTCAACAGAGGGCAAAGGCAATTGTATTTCTTTTTTCAATAAAATTTCAACTACTGAATATTGAAGATCCGATGCACTGTGATTTTGTCGTAGAATACTTGTTATGGAAAAAACTCATTTAAGCATAAGTTACAATTTCTTGCACTTAAATACTTAAGTTCTTTAAGTAAACTGAATGTGTGTCTTTTTTCACAGTAAGATAGTTTTAAGTTCCATCAGTTTTCTCTAAGTTCTGAAGCATATGAGAGTATCATTAAGAATTCCCTGAGAAAAGTAACTTCAAATATATGTGACAGTATCTAGCAGGCACATATAAATACAACACACCACATAAATATAAGAAGGTTATACTAACAGACACATATATGTGCATACTAATAAGGAGAAAAAAAAAAAAAAGGCTTCCCTTTTGATTCGTACCAAGAATCAAATCTCTTCCCTAGTACCACTACACCTCTCTATATAGCTTTATACACAACATATATAAACTCTTCAGCTCATTTTTCCAAGCAAGAGAGAGGGGAGAGAGATGCATTATCAGACTGTTTCAATAACCAGTAAAATTCCCAACTACCTAATGCAAAAAAGGATTATTAGGTTATGAGTAACAGTAAATAGAAAAAGAGCATGAAAGAAAGAGGCTGTTTTGCGGAAATCTTTTGTCACTTTGAATTCCATTGCCAGCTTCTATGTTCTTTTGCTGTGAAAAGAAATGCTGTTGTGAATTGGTGGCTTTCATGCAATTTTGGCACGATTAGGGAACATCAGAACAAGCACAAGCAGATTTCGCATTCTTCCACTTTTTTCCCCCTCTTTCAAACATCAATTATTTAGCTAGGTTTTAGCAAAGCTACCTTGTGATTAAACATTACCATTAAAGTCTGGCTCCCAAAGCCTGGGTGAAATTCAGGCTTAACAAGGGATCAGTCAGACTAAGCCAAACATTCAAGTTCAGATTCCAAGTGAGCAGTCAACTAGGTCACTGCAGATCCACATTCTCCAAGGCTCCACTCCATATGTTTCAGTGCTGCAAGCTGACAACTGTAGACATAAGCGACCACCAAGGACAGGACAACTCTGTCCTTGCAGACCTAAAGCGTATGCATGAAAGGTTTTATGGTCTCAGCTTCTATTGCTTACATACCAAGCGTTCCACACACTGAAATTGCACTCAAAAATGAAACAGCAATAAATTATTTTGAATACAAAGTAATTAAATACTCCAGAGCTGCTATCATGAACCATTGACCTGTGCAGATAGTTGAGCACTCCCTGAGAAATATCTTTGACCTGATTACTGAAGACAAATCGGATGGAAGTCAGACATTCTGTTGTCATATGACATACTCTATTTAAATCCCAACATTCCCCTAGAAGTGTGAAAGACTGCTTTATTACGAAGCACAAGAAGAGTACTGGCTCAGACCACACCATATGGTTTCAAATGTATCACTCTGAGTTAATTTATGAAAAAAGCCAGTGGAACAACTAGTCCTAGTGAACAGTCTACAAAGCAGATGATCCTGACTGCTGGTGAGACACCCCTTTCCTCATTTCCTCACCAATACCACCACGCACTTGACACCACATGGGTGAGAGAACATACGTGCTAAAGCCGTTGCCATTTAACACAGAACTATGTGCCCCAAGACGGGGATTCTAGAAGAACTTTTAACAAAGAATGCTGTCTTACATTTGCAGATAAACACTCAATGCACATTTATAATTATACTGTAGTTACTAGAGATGCCAACTGCTTTTACAGAAGACAGAAGCAAATTTCTCCTTAAAGGGAAGAATGTTTCTTTTAGAAAAGATGACTAGGTCTTGATTATCAAAGCTTTATCTCCTTTTCTCAATTTCTCCTTGTGCTCTTTCTAGACAACTTACGAATACGTACCGCATGGCTCTCAGTGCAGTTTTGTATGCCAATTCAGCATCATGAGGTAGGAGAGAGGTGAAGAGATACTTGGCAAATGTGTGCATTGGAACACTCTCTCGATGGACAACTTCACCTAAACCACTATATGGTCCAGCTATGGGGAAAAAGAAGAAGAATGTCAGTCTTTACACACTGTTAAAACCCAAACACTGGACCTTTAAAAACATTCATTATACCTTCAGTTAGAAATGGTATTCAGACATTGAGTTTTTGGTACAAAATGTAAACTTATATTGCTCTTTTCTGTGAAATATTACAGATCACATATATACAACATATTACAAGTATATTAAATACTACATATTCTTTGAGACAAGAAAGATTGCAAATTGCCTAGTACTAAGCATACTACCAGTGTAAATACAAATGACAGAATGGTTCCACTGCTCTGCAGGGCTCATTCAGCAAGATACGGTACACAAAAGTAGAAAGTGACAATCCTAATTTGTTCTCCACATAGTTACATCGTGCACGGGAATCCCTATGCATCTTGTTGGCATGTGACTGCTTTGTCACAAATCCACCAGAAAAGAACAATAAATTAGTGGTTACAGTGGAAAAATGTGTATCTTTAATTGAAGTTCTATGACCAATCACCACAGCAGCATCTGATTACTAATAATGTCTCACCTGACTTTAAGCGTTTAAATAACCCTTTGGTCTAGACTTGGTCTCCAGAGAAGACTAGGTCAGATCTTGTGCCAAAGCTGGTTTTGTTAGTCCATTATAGACACGTGGTCTTAAAAATAGTATTTGTTCCGGGAAAACTATGCTCACAGTTGGGGCAATGGATATTGTTCACAGTGCAGCCAGTATAGAATTTCAACTTCGTAACAGCAGCATCAGGATTGACAACAAAAACAAAGTTAAATACAACTATTTCCTGAACAGTCATGGTGCATATGAAATCCCATTTTTACAGTTTTCCTGCAACTTCAAAATTGTTACTCCTGTTCACAGGAAAACTGCGTTAAACAGTTTTTGACTTAAGTGACTAGACGTCAGGCATTAAATGCTGCAAGATATAGAATAAGAAGTTTACCTTAAGTATTGCTGGACTACTATTATACAGATAGCAGCCATCAGCCCTAGTAGTACTACTACTTCTAGTAGAGATTCCAACACAACACACTTGGCTGAATGGATGGATGGATGGCATGGAAGAACACTTGCCTGCAGAGACATGAGTCACCTAAACTGCTTCCAGAAGCCGTTCAAAACTAATATGGCTCACTCTACATTGCAGCAGATAAGGAGAACGGACAAGGAGAAACAGCTAAGTTCTTTCAGCAATGTTTTTCTGACTGGTGCCTTACTACAACATGCAAAGATAAAAATCACCAGGCGTGAAAGAATTCTGAGCTCCATAGGTGGGCATTTCTAAAGACCGGGGCTCATTACAAAGGAAATGTCAATGAAGACTTACTAGGTGACAGTGTGTCTCATAATCATTTAAAATGAAGTTGAAAGCCATTCAAAACTAGCTGGCATTCCCTCACTGAAAGAAGCCGTTTCATCTATGTTTGCCCATTGGTGGTCCAGTCAGAAACTCAGGACATGAGGAATAAATGACAAAGGATTTATATGAAAATATATTCTGGTATTAACTTAGCAGTCAAGCAAAAAATTAGAACAGTTCTTGAAAAGTAATCTTACACTCTGCTTTCCCATGCATTCAAGTGGTAGCTACGTACAGCACACATTAATCTGCATTAACAGCATAGAAATCAGCTTAATATTGGATTAAGCTTTCTTTATTGTATTTACAGGACTTTACCTATAAAAACACAACTGATATGATTAGCATCTTAAATCACTGCTTGATTTTTCCCCTATTTGAGCCGTCAATTTCTGCCTAAACTGGACTAGACTGAACCTACTGCAGCAGAGATTTCTCAGCGCACAGGAATCAGGACCATCATTGCGAGTGGCCCAGCACATCAATTTTTTAAGTAGTTATATTAGAGGATTTCCTGCTATGATCACTTGTTTAGTACTCTAATAAAACATTTAAAAGAATTCCATTGCAGTAAGCTAGAATTAGTAGAGAAAACTTCAGAGAAATCCTTTCTTTTTCTCATAAAGTGTCCTTACCAGTAAATGGAAGCAGGAAATCTATTTCGTAACCGTTAGGATCCCTGTATAGTGGTTAAGAGCTGGATCCAGCAAGCAGCTCTTCCTTGTTCAAAGGCCATTAAAAAAGCAGTACAGCCACACCATAATGGAAACTCTCGCCGTGGTGTGGCTTCACTGCAGCTTTAAATGGTACCATCAGTAGGTACCAAAGTCTTCAAGGATCTGGGCAAAAACAGTGCCTCAAAGCTGAGAACCCTAAACAACATACTGCACTTCTTTCATTGAAGAGGAAACTTTAAAAGACAATGCCTTACAGAAAGAAAGCAAAACCCAACGGCCATGTAACAGTCCTCATAACTTACCAAGAGCAGTACTACACTCCCGATCATCCCTTGAGAAAGCACTCAAAACTTGGACCACGCCTTTGGCTAACTGGTTCCTCTAAAGTTTGTTTTTTCCATTTAAAAAAACCCCAAAACAGAAAGATAACCTCAGAACCTACAAGATTACTCGCTGAAAGAGAAGTTTTATTTCTACACATTAAGTCTTTTTAAAGCCTAAGGAAAGAGTACGCATACTTTGTACAGACTTTTTTTGCCACACATCAGCTAATTCCCAAATACAAACTGTCTTGATCAAAATTTAGTCACAACACCAGGCCTTAAGTCTCAATATTTGACCACATATTTCAATTTTCATGTATGACAAAAACTTCTAAAGCAACTTGTTTTCATAACTGTTATAAATAAAATGCTACATTTCTGTCCAAGCAATTCTAGGTGAATTTTCTGAGCTCTTCACTTAGGGACAGAGGTAAAAACCTTCACACATTCACAAAGCCACCAGTCTATTTTTCAGGATACAAAGAACACTCAGAATTTTGCTACCTGAGAACTGTTGATTACTGATAACTGTGTTACTTAGTCGTGAGCCTGGGTTGTATAATCAGAAACATATCCAGAGAACAAAATGTAATCAAAATTTAAACAAAAGGCTTACAGGTCAACAGATGCCTTATCTCTACAATCATGTGATAGCTGAAAAATGTTTGATTTTCACAAGAGATTGAAACAAAATTTTGCTGGAATCCTATGTCAAAAAAAAATAATCTTAAGTATGTTAGGCAGTTTCCACAGGAATACTAGTTCTGTGTGAAGACAGTTTAAGGAAGCAGTTAGCATCTATATTGAGCTACCTTCTAATAGGAAGACTGCTTGTTTTCGAAAAATCTTCACCAGAGAATCATCCAATTCAACTTCCCGTAGCTTACAAATGAGCTGATCCTCATTTCGACAAATCTTCTCTTGTGCATACAAGCCATCTGGCATTATTCGTTGCTGTCCCAGCCCTATCAACGCTACTTCCACAGCCAGTGTTAAATAAGATTCCCCTTCTTCTAAGAATTTTTGTGCAGGCAGGTGTTGGTACTCCAGAGATGTGCATTGCCCCATGTTCTCTGTAAGAGGTGACAAAAAGAAAAACACATCAGCAAATAATTCTAAGCCATAATCTACCTAAAATGTCACATATGCAAATGTTTCCTATGTATTATTATTAACAGTTTAAATTATTAGTGCAATCTAAACATCCAAAGTGCAATCTAAACATCCAATGATCCAGTCTAAAATATCCCATCCAATTCCATGTGGCAGAAACACACAGAACAATTAGGTTTTAAGTAAGCCACTCAAGTAGAAATGAGTTTTCATCCCTAAATTGCATGATTTAGAAAAAAGCAGTTTGTCCAGTTTTGTGTTAGTGAGGACAAAATTGGAAGATCCATTACAAATTTTTTTCCCTGCCAACTTCTGTATCTCCTTAAAGTCCTGACATCAAAGAGGAAGTAAAAGGTGTTTAAACACGTGCACAGGTTTCGGCTGAAGCTATTAGGATTATGCAAATTCAGTAGGCTTGAGAACCCCACAACTTTAAAGCACACTGTTCTGCTATTGCTCTTTTCAGACTATTTTATTTTCTACAGTTGTACTATGGCAAAATTGTGTATTTTTAACACCAGAAGCCCTACTTTTAGTAAAGATTACATGTAAATTCCAAACAAACACAGACATTAATTGCTTTAAAGAATACTACTAATTCATTTGGCACTTCACAGACACTCATATGACAAAACGCTATTCCTAACTGCAGCAGTTTACAGTGTAATTTGGGAAGAGAAATTATAATGAACACAAGTTAGGAAATACCTGGAGCAAATAAGAAGGCTAAATACATTTCATAGATTGTGTAAGCTTGTGTAGGAGGAAACTTACTTTTCAGCACACAGTTTTTATTTCATGGGTTTGCTTTGTTTTCTTATAACTGCAAATAATCTGATTTCAGATTTCTTTTAATTAAAACTTCCTCCAGAATTGGTAGATATGGGATTAGAAATTTACTGAAAAAAACCTAACTGAATAAAAGGAGTTTTGAGGCAAAGCCTCAAGAAGATTGTGGATGTGCATGCAAGAGAAGGTAAAGGGATGCATTCAGTTTCTGTACACACAAGTGGTGGTAAGAAGCTACCACAGAGGTGGAAAGAGACTGAGAACACAGAATTAATCAGTGAAATTCCTGGGAAGCAAATATTTAAAAGGACATGCGCAGCCTGCCCCAAATTATGTATTGATACTGCAACACTACTTTGCAATTAATATAATTTATAGACCATGTACGTGAGCAATTTTTAGTGTTTTGTCATCAATTTAAGCTACTGTGTACACCTGTAGCTCAGAAATCCATTAACATCCTGGGCAGCATTAGGAGTGTTGTCAGCAGGTTGAGGGAGGTATCCTTTCCCTCTGCTCAGAACTTGTGAGCCCACACCTGGAGTGCTGTCCTGTGCTCCTCAGTACATGGACATACTGGAGCAGATCCAGTGCACGGCCATAAACATGATTAATGGACTGCACCACCTCTCATATAATGAGTGGGACAGGTGGGATTATTTAGCCTTGAAAAGAGAGGGCTCAGGAGGATCTTAGCAAAATGTATAAATATCTGATGGGAGAATGTAAAGAAGACCGAGCCAGATTCTTCTCAGTGCTATTCTGTGACAAGACAAGAGGCAATAGGCACAAGCTGAAATACAAGAAAAGGCCATCTGAGCATAAGAAAACCTTTTTTACTGTGAGTGTGGTTGAACACTGACAGAGAGGTTGTACAATGTTCATTCTTGGAGTTATTCAAAACCCAACTGGACATAGTCCTGGGCAACCTGCTCTATATGACCCTGTTCTGAGCAAAGTAGGCGAACTAGATCTCTAGAGGTGCCTTCCGTCCTCAGCAATTCTGTTATCCTGTGGTTTCTTGCAATATCTCAGAATGAGGATAGAGCAATGTATGTGGAGAGGCCTGCTGCTATAAAGTCTTACTTGGTTTTATTTCAAGTGTGAAATGCAGAGTTGTCTTCAAGAATGAGTAACTGGTAATTTTCTTAAGTGGTTTCATACTTTACTATTTTCTCTCAATTGTGTTACTGTAAGGAATGCAAATTTGAGTTCTTATACTACAAAAACACTGGCTTTGAGGCCAATTCCAAACGAAAAATGCCAAAAGAAAAATGCCTCTGGTAAACGAAGACCTATAGAAGATTACTCACTTTGCTTGTCCTTACCCATAAAGTCTGAAAATCCATGGAAGCTCTCATCATCCGCCCTGTAGGCTTCCATGAAGACACTGAAGAGGGTGCCAATGGGGTCCAAAGGGTGTCCCACCCAACCTCCAATATTTGTTATTGAGGTTACTTCTCTGTGGAGAAGTTCTGTGACAGAAAAGATAGAGGGAGGGAAACAGAATGCATGTTAGCCCCTCAAAACAATTTTAGAAGTAGAAATGATTAAAATGCTCTCAGTAGAGAGTTCAAAGTATTTCTGGTAGCTTCTGCTTAGAAGAAAACAATATCATCCAGGGTGAATTCATTGCCCTTTGTGAACATGTTAAAAGAAGAAAAGAAGAAAAAGATTGAAGGCCAAACATTTTGAGCACTAGCAAAGTACATTATGGGTCAAAAATTCCAACTGCAGTGCCTTTTGAAATCTCTTACTCAGTACCAGTAACTCTCATGAAAATATCTGCTGAAAAATTACAGCAAAGGCTTTTTTATTGGTAAAATATTCACAACTGTTTCCTCACTCAGAAAGACACTGTACTATTTTTACATTTTAAGTTCATCTGATGGCACTGAAATAAATGAAAATATTCTGAAATATGTTCCAATTTCATAAATAGAACATAAGCTTATCCTGCATCTAAATATTTAATGCAGTAATAAACTCAGGATGACAGCTCCCTTAAAAATCAAAAAAAGAATAAAATGTCTAAATAAGGTATACTAGAAAAAAATTTTCTTTAAAGTAGACCAAGTGCAGTTTTTGTCAATTCTAAAATTTCAGTCAACAAATACCTTCACAGATACTAAGCTTCATAGCCCCCATCTATCTTTTGGTTAGGACATGAAAAATTGTTCATCACAGTGAATTGAGGCAAGGTTGGTTGTGGTAACAGATGTTAAGAGATTTCCCCGATCCCTTTTTTCACTAAGAGTCTTCTGGCACCACCTGCTCTTCAATGTCAACTCCTAACTTTTTTTCTCCTGGACATACACACACAACTGAACTGTGATAGATCAGACATATTATGGGTGACCATTTACAAACTGTATACAAGTCATTACAGATACTCTGTTTGTCTGCCTGTTACATACTGACTTGTTACATACTGTCTTCACTCTCTCTTGTTCAAAGCGCCATCTTTCTGTATAACTGTATGTATTAATACAGAGCTTACAAATCCTACTTCTGACCTGTTTAAATGTATGGGGATACATACATATCATACTACAGATGACAAAGATACCAAAAACGTATTTATCGCAGTGACTTCTGACTCACTTATGTTTTCTTTATTCTAGTGTGCCTACTTATGAGCTTCACTCATGTCACGCCAAAGGCTTCAGTCGTCCAGTCACAGACATTTAACTTTAAATGATCCAAGTGGTTCCACAGATGTCATATCAATCACATGAATAAAAGCTAAGTAGAAGCATGTGGTGTTTGCTGAACCAAAACCTAAAGCTGGACAGTAGCTGCAGAATTCATCTGCTTACAGAGTAGACCAGCACATTTTGCAGTATTAAAAAAGTGTTTTTAAAAATATTCCCCACATAAGAAGAAAAAAATAAAACAATGCAGTGAGTGACAACATAGAAATGACAAACTTTGTCTCAGAGGAAGATGGATCACATTTCACACACTCCATTTTTTATTTATAATAGCATAATATTAGTTGACAGGTATAGAAACTGCTCACAGGAAAAGGTACTTCCCAGAAGTACTGAATATCTAGATAGTTGCATTAGCAACTAGGAATGAAAAGGAGCAGTACTATGACCAGCACACTTAGAGCAGACCCTTCACACGTGCCAGTGGTACCCACACGCTGTGCATGCACATACTGGCACGGATCCCTCCCTTCTTACCCTCCCAGTCTGAGAAGCTAAAAAAGCTGCAAAGCTTTTAGGGGAAAACTTGTTAAGAAAAGATACATTACTTAATAAAAAAAGTTAACAAACTTTCTTAAGTAATAATACAAAGCGCTTTTAAGTTTTATTCAAATCTAGGCTAAACAACAGTGTTCAAAAACACCTTCTTCCCTGGGTACCATGGAAAAATAGAACAAAAAATTCAAGAAGACCTATCAGCAAATGGAGGCACATAGGAACTGCCAGCTATTTTTTTCTTTGTCAGGTGTCTATCTTGCCTTCTAAATGCTCATTTCTTGGAAAACATCTGCACACACACTTGAAAGACATACACATATGACTTCAGAGAGGTATTTTTGCCTACAACACGTAAGGATACTCTAGCAATGAAGATCTAAAATAAAATTTGAATTCAGGGATTCTTGTACCAACTGAGAAGCTTTTCCATATAAATTCCTTAAGCACAAAGCCATTCCCTTCTTCCACTGCCTCTGCAAACCAACAACAAAGTTCAGTGCAGGATTCTTTTGAGTAGCACGGATCACATGGCATAGAAACTATACTTGAAGATGAACATTCCTTAAAAAAAACAGGAATAGTGCCCATCACAAGAACACCACAGAACATTTTATTAAAAATAGTGTTTCGAAACCAACAAAATAACCCAATCCACCTCTATTCAGAACCACTATAGTTTTATGCACTACAAGAGATTCCTTTGGAATAAAGTGCTGGATTTCACGAATTTCTGTAGTGCAGAATTTGCCTCATTATCCTCAATATCAAGTATATCTCAGAAATATATAGCTCAGCTAAATTGTATGTCAAAGATTAAAAAAAAAAACCACAAAAAACAACCAACCAAAACCACCTGAGATGCTAAATGCAAAGCTCTATTTAGAAGTCTGTAAATTTCACAGGGTGAATATTTTCACTGTGTAACCAAAAATCCTGATTGGGATAAAGGCCCCATCATACCATATATATTGCAGAAGGCAGAATGGAGCCCTTGCCTGCTCTCAACCCAGCTTACAGAAAACCTCTGATATCTAGAATGTGACATTACCACTACGTTCATCTGAACCGAAGAGTTAAAGTCACCTCTTCTGCTTTAGTTTCAAAACCGGTTCTCTCAATGCAAAGTTGCAGCCCAGTGCTATTGTCACCTTGCACTTCTTTTACCCTTCTCTTTCTCATATTTACCTTTCTCCTGAGCTCGGAACATTTCCAGCTGTTTCTCCTGCTGCCTTCTTAGTGTATTAACAATAGCTATTGCTAGTCTCAGTGCTTCTTGTGGGTATCCATGAGATCGTAAGGCATCCACCCTTGCACAGGCTGTAGGAACATGTTCTAAAATGGAGAAAATAGTTGAAGAATAGCAATGCTTCCATGTCTGCAATGGCCTGTTTTACTAGGTTACTCAAAAGCGCCTTTTTTTTTTTTTTTATAAACTATGCAACAGAGACTTAAAGGACTACTTCTGAGCCAGATTTCAAGGGAGCCTCTGTTCTTACTGCCAGGATTTTCATTCATCTACCCCCCCCCCAAAATAATGCCACAGAAAATGAACAAAGCAGCAAGTCATGGAAACGTCTTTCCGGTTTAGCCACTTACCATGCCAGAGGGGCCACCCATGAGTGTCAAAGAACAAGTTTTCAGTGTCGTCATGGTAACAGTAGTTGTACAGGTCACCGCTCATAATGTGCTGTAAGTGGTTGTCCTGCCAGTGCAGATTGCATGCCTCAATGGCTCGAGTGAACACCGTCCGATGTGGCTTGTTCGATGAATCTGTCATTTTCACAAGTTCAGAGAGCTGCATCAGCATTTACTCATTCATATGTGAATCAGTCATTCACAGTATTCTTGTCTTCTGCCTGTTCACCAGCTCCCAACCGACAGCAGCCTGCCTTGCCCAGCTCTGCACATAGCAGCCCGCGGATGACATTTCACGTCCTATTATTATCCAACAGCTCAGGCAAAGTGTGTGCCATTCACTTTGCATTCAGAGAGACAGAGAAAGAGAGAAAGAGATCTACAAACCAGTCCTGATGCTAAACAAGACTTTGCAGAAAGAACAGCTAGAGACACCCAGCAGCATGTGCAGAACTCTCCTAAAAACAAACTACAAAGTATATGGCACACAGCTACTCAGGCATCCCCGGCTTCCCTCCTCAGACCCAGAGCTGCCAGGATGAAGAATGGATTAACATTGCATGAAAGATTTTTAGTTGTTCACTATGAGAAGTGAGCACCTGTATATTATCAATTTTTTACCTAAACATATAAAAATAGTGTAAATAAAGTGAGGTAGTGAGCCCATGGACTGGAATAATCCTTACTGGACATCTTCCTACGGCAAAATTGATCTGTTGACATGGCACTATGTCCATGACATGCTCTGTCAGAGTCATCACTAGCCTACCCAGATTGGACTCAGCACCACAAAATACAGAAAGAAGAACATGTCTGTATGGAGTTATATGTGGAATGAACTTCTGTCCCTAGCTAGCTGTGAGACTTGAAAATGAACCAAGTCTATTTCCTTCAGAAGTAATCTTCCAAGAAAAAGAAACAAGGAAAAACCCATCTACAACCAAATCTGCCATCTCCCAAGTATTTAATTTTATCATAATTATATACCATACATATCAAAATACTGAGGGTTTTGAGGATTATGAGGATTTTTCTCCAGGTAAACATCCTTCATCTTCCTCAGTTCTTACCAAAATGGCCACCTTTGCTTGAAGAGGACTGGACAAGACTTCTGTCAGATTTCATAATACATTTTAAATTAGAAAGCATGATATTGAGTAAGAAGAGACACTTCCTCCAAGACAGTAGTGTTGGCTCTGCACCCACCCACACCTGCACAGACTGCACATACAGAGCACAACCCACAAATAGCCGCTTTAGTTTCTCATACACTCAAGTTTCATGCAGTTGCAACAGTTCTCTCTCTAAATAGGTAGCAGAGGCTTTGCAACTGCAAACAACATAAAGACCCCAACACCAGAAAAGAATACAAGATTGCAGTCAAGAGAAGAAACAGGCTTTTACATGATATAGTTCAAAGACATCGAATTTTCATGCAACATGTATTTAGAAAGCACCAAGTGAAAAGTTAGAAGACCTAACTAAACATAAATAGTTGCTTTGAAAACATTGCAGCCCCAGCACAAAACCCCCCGCCTATTTACCCTTTCTGCAAGGACAGTACTAGCGAAAATAACTTTGGCTGGTCAATCCTCACCAAGAAATTACTTGTCACAGGAAAG